AAATGCTAAATCCTAAGATTTGAAAGAATTTTTCAATAAAGAACCAAGCTAAGACGACACTTAGTACATAGTGGGAATTAAGATCTATTGAATAGACCTAATGAAATGTTTGAACGGGTAAAGGAATTTACCGTGTTAAACATGAAGGACCTGAAAAGGCTTTCGACTCATATGTATAAAACTATGAAAATGTTTGAACTAAGTATAAGCTAGGCAAATACTAACTCAAACAAGAAAGACTCTAGTAGAGACTTTCAACCGTATCATATAGCAAACAGACTCAGTGCAACTAGATGAGCTAAAAGTCACATGAATGAGATGAAATTGGGAATATTTATGCAATTGAATCCATCATGTATGCTATGATATGGAATCTTCACATGACTTGCATGCTCAGAGCATGACTAGCATAAATTACCAATCGACTTGAATCTAAATAATGGAACGTTAGATTATGATCAAGAACATCCAAAGTGCTTGGTTAAGTAAAAGGATGAGTTCTTGATACATGGAAACAAATATAATATGAGTATTGATGTGGTGAGCACAACCTGAACAAGGATTAGATACTTAATGAAGAATCCATTTATAAGCTCGAGCTTAGATGTGTTGTGGCTTGAAAATGGCAACATGGACTTATGTCCATGTATATTGTGAGAAAATTTAAGGTAAAATTCCGTAATAAAAAAATGTCCTAAATCATTGTGAACTGGTTGGAGTAAAATCCAAGCAAAGCATCATTAGAAAATCTACTAAAATATATGTTGAGAACATTGTTGCCTTAAAGGCAATAAAAGGGATATTGTTTAATGGATAGTTCGTTGTTGAACTTTGATGATTATAGATTGCCATGTTTGAAGGTCTCAAATCATGAAAATGAGTGGGAGCAATCACTTGGACAATAAATCCTAGATCACATGTAATCCGTAACACACTCAAATTTTATCATCTTATTATGAAAGTATTCGATAATGAAGATGCTAAGATTTGCCAAGTAATGATAACTAAACCCATGCAATAAGTGAACTACAACATTCACAATTGCATAAAAGAAATCAAGCATATTAGATATGGATGTGATTTCTCTAAATTGTTTTATAAAGAGTATTACTCTTAAAACATTTGGGGAAAACCATTTATCATAAGATGAAACGTTGAAAAGTTTCATAGTAGAATAAAAATTTTACTAACAACTCCACAAACTATTTAATTGTGGTTTAGAATTAAATAATGAGTCCATTCAATCTGACGATATTCAAAATAGGGTATCAAGACAAATGTCTTGGATAAAGAAACACCTATTAAGTGAACATTTAATATCATATCAAACCTATCCCTAATCAAGGTCATTTGAAAGTTGGACGACTAATGACTGCGCGAGATTAGTGTGTAGTATAATTTATAGCACTGTTTCCTGTGCTACAAGAACAAGAATGTCATAAACCATTTGCACTGGTATTAGTTTGGAACTATATCGGATCGACCTATGAGAATATTAAGAGATTTAACAATTGTCATAAGTATATTACTCAGTATGACTATCGGAACCTCTTTCCTCAACCATGATTATTGTTAGTTCTCTTGTTTGAGTACTAGTCCGTTTTGATGTTGTCAAACGTCTGCTGTACATGGGGATTATAAAGGCAACACTCAGGCGGCTAAGGCCTCTTAGTAAGGGACGCTAACAATGCAAGACTGGGAATGTCCCCCTATTAAAAGTAGGGAACATGTCTTTGTTTTTTACAAGGCCTCTCGAAGACCGAGACTGTGAAAATGCATGGTTATGCTCAGATGGATTTTAGAAATCATCTGTGTATTGATAGTTGAACTCGCAAATCAAGGAAGACTTCTGGACATAATAAGGATGACGATAAATCTTACCTTATAGTTCATGAAAAGGAATTAAGTGACATAGGAAAAGGATATACACATACAGCACACTTGTCCGGAAGGTCAAGTGGGAGATTGAAAGGAATGGTGTCCTTCAAACAAGATTATTCCGATAAAGGGTTCGGAATTAATTAGGAAAGCTAATTATTCAGTGAGGTCAAGTGATCAGAATGCCTAAATGGAGGCCGCTTCCGATCAGTAATATTAATGTATAATTAATGTTACAGCTTGATCTTGACTGAACCCTTCGGGTCACACCCAATCGTGTAACCGAACAAAGGCGACGAATTAATCAGAAGGATTAAATAAGTCATTAGAGATATTACGAACTTAGGCGTCAGATTACGAGCTTAAAGCTTCAAAGCCAAGCGTCGAACGTCGAGTCGATTCAAGGAATCGACGAGACAATAAATTAAGTCAAATGATAAGTCAACAACTAGCCGTAGCCTCGCAAAGGATGGGCAAGCTAGGCCGAGAAGCCTTTCGGGAAAGCACTTCTAGCAAGAGCAGTGCCTATCGCTAGCAGCCTGCACTTCCTTGATAGGCTTGCTAGCAGGGGCTACTACCTTGCGAGCTATGCTTTGTACCGCTAGCATTAGCAAGCAAACCAGCTCGCAATCGCACAAGCACCAGCAGCACTGGGCTTACGATTATAGGCCCAACTAAAGGCCAAGGCTTCCAGCGCAGCATGCCTTGAGGCCCAAGGTTGGGGGTGTGTGCCGTGCACATGGGGATGGTGTGAGTTGGCAGTTTTGCTTGCTCCCCAAGTGAAGGGTTTATGGTCCTTACCTAACTCCTCCCTTGTATTGCCACTTTGTCATTTGCTTATTGTTTATGTTATTTAATTTAAATTAGAATTAAATTAATTGCTTACTTTTCTCCCTTATCATTTCTCCCACATGGTAAGATGATTAAAGGTTTTAGGAGCCTTTGCCTATAAATACCAACTCTAGGAGCTGGGAAATTCACATTTGAGTTGAACTTAATAAGGTATCTCCCAAAAGCATGAGAAAGCCTTTAAGTTCGTAATACTCTAGTTTATTTTAGTCTAGAGTCATTTAAGCTACGTGGTAGGGACCCGTTCGGGCGCGAGGGTGTGAGACTGAGGAGGGTTTGCACTTGCGGGTCTAGAGTTTTTCTGTGTTTGTGCTCGGGGTTTGTGAGAAGCACGTGTCAAGGGTGACCAAGTCTTATCCTGACTTTCTCTCTCTTCTCTTTATGTGTTTATGCTTTTAATAATTGTATGTTATTTTGTTTAGTTGTAATAATTATTCATGCGATCCTTTTGTGGGTATTGTTTCCGTGCGATGTCAGACACCGTAAAACCCAACATCTACAGCATCTTCCACTCGTGATTGTTCTTGGTTCTACTGTGAAGTTCCTTGTGCTTCTATTGCTGCTTGCTCCTCATTTGATTCATGATTTGTTTAACCTTCTTTTTCATAATGCTACTTCAGCAATGATGTTGATTCTTCGTCTGGATCGTACTTTTGTACAAGTCCAATTTCAAAATCATCATCACCTTCCTGTACATCAATCGATTGTTCAGTTTCATCAAAAGTTACATGTACAGAATCTTCAACATACATTGTTCTTTTATTATAGACTCTGTAAGCTTTACTATTTAAGGCATATCCTAAGAATATAGCCTCATCACTTCGGTCATCAAACTTTCCCAAGTTTCTTTTACCATTATTATGAGCAAAACATCTGCAACCAAAAGATCTAAAGTAAGAACTATTAGGCTTTCTCCCTTTGATAAGCTCATATGGTGTCTTGTTGGTGATGGCTTTAACAGTGACTCTATTAAGTATGTAGCATGCTGTGTTTACTGCTTCTGCCCAGAAGTTCCTAGGAAAACCACTAGAAATCAGCATTGTTCTGGCCATATCCTTAAGGCTTCTGTTCTTGCGTTCAACCACTCCATTTTGCTATGTAGTCCTAGGAGCAGAGAAGTAGTGGTCCATTCCATGTTCTTTACAGAATTTATCAAACTTATAATTTTTAAATTTTGTTGCATAATCTGATCTGAGATGCACTAGTTGGTTACCAGTTCTTCTCTGTTCTTTCTTCACAAAAGCAACAAATTCATCAAACATTTCATCTTTGCTAACAAGAAAGAAAACCCATGTAAACCTTGAGAAATCATCAACAATAACCATAACATACCTCTTACCACTTCTGCTTTGGATTCTCATTGGACTACTGAGATTCATATGAATGAGTTCCAAAGGTCTTTTAGTGCTTACCATAGTTTTAGATTTAAAAGAAACACGAGTTTGTTTTCCTCTAACACAGGCATGACAAACTTTATCATTTAGGAACTTGATAAATGGAAGACCTTCCACAGGTTCCTTAGATTTAAGCTTGTTAAGTAAAGAGAAACTAGTATTAAACTAAGACATGTCAAACTACTATTTAAAACCTCGTTGAGATCCACTGTATAAGTGTTCCCTTTACGAGATCCTTCCAGTATAGTGTTCCCAGTGTCATTTTTAATGATTCGGCACGAATTGGAAGTCACTACTACATTTTTGACCTATTGCAACCCCTAAATCTGTTGCATTAGACGTCAATATCCGTGGCATTAGGCCTGATGCAACAGCCATGTACCGTGGCATGTGCTGGCTTTGCAGTAGGTCTAATGCAACGGTATATAACACCTAATGCCACGACATCTATGATCTGTTGCATTAGCTCAATACCTGATGTAATGACATAAATCATCAGTGAATAGATTATTGACTAATATATATGATAAATTTACACCTAATGCAACGGATGAAGCTATTACAATGATATATGGCGTACGTATCTAATGCAACGATAAAATATATATATATATATATATATATATATATATATATATATATATATGTATATATATATATATATGTATATATGTATGTATATGTATATATGTATGTATATATATATATGTATATATATATATACATATATGTATGTATATACATATACGTATGTATATACATATATGTATGTATATACATATATATATATACATACATATATATATATATATATTACAAAGCTAAATATACTAACAAACAGGAACAAAATGTCATTAAATTTATATATAATAATTATAATGTTAAATACGTACTTTACAAATTATTACTTGTTTGTTTTCGATATGACACCCTACTAATTAATAAATAAAAGTTATAAAATTAATTTAATCGTTCAAAATACAAATTTCAACATATATATAAGCTGGAATTTCCAAATCTTCACAAACTTGAACTTAATAGAATTAGATTCGGCAACATATATGCACCATTTGTTAGATGACTAGACATTATACTTCATCTCCATTTAGCTCGCCATGCACCTACACGTAAAATAATATAACTAAATGATAGAAAAATAATAGAACTAAATCAAGGAAACTCATAAAGGACAACAAATGTAGTAGTCATTAACCAAGTATTGGTTTTGACATATTATATAAGAACCTATTAAACACTTTCTTTAAGACAATAATATATAATCGATAAAGGTCCCAATGTTGATACATGCACTTGCAGGTTCACCGGTTCACCAACATGACATAAATAAAACAATGTAAGATAATACTTCGTATGATACAATCCAATTGACCTAGGAAATCATCGTCTAAATACAACAATTACAACTCAGCTCAAAGAATAAATAAATTAGCAAAAGGTAAATTTAACGCAGCCATTTCTTAGTCTAACAGAAAAAGTAATGAGCCAATAAGACACTATTCAGTCAACCTAAGAGGATAAGACATCATTGTAAAAGTTTAATCGTGAGTCGACCACCTTACCTAAACGAAGCAGTCATAAAATGGTAAAAAAAAAAAAATGAATCAACACCATTCAGATCATTACTCAATTAGCCAAAGAAATCATCATAGTCTGAATTCAACAAGTACTAGCCAGCTCAACTAAATGAAACAATCCACAGAGAGCTCATTTCATACTTAAATTAACAGAAAATGTAGTCCAAAGACAACATCATCCAAGTTCGACGACATATATATAATAAGAATTTAGGTACTCCAAAATATAGTACTTATTATAGAAACATACCAAATACTATCATAAATTAAAAATTGGTCCCTTTAAAGACTAGAACTCTAGAAGAAAGGATATGATTATATGAAGTCAAATATGGTACAAAATGTCAAAATGTAGTTGTTTCTTTTCAGCACAATCTACACCATTAGACTTTAGCTTTGCTACAACTAATTGGTCTATTTTTTTTTCCCTTTTCTTTTTATACAATTATATTAATTTGTTTTTAGGAAAAAAAAAAAGCCAACTTATTAGTGTCTCATCTGTTTTACAAATTAAAGTTTAAATTAAATCTACACTTATAAATCTTTTTTTTCTCCTTCTTTGCAGATGTAATTTGCAACATCAAATGGCTTGGCTTGATAAAATTCTAGACTCTCATCTTGGTAAGAAATTGATTTAATTTATGGCATTAATTAACCACTAATATTTCATACCTACTGTAACACTGGTCACATTTAAACAAAAGAAATAAAAAATAAAAACATACTTTCATATATATGGTAGAGGAACAAAATTGAAACTTAAGAATAGAATCAAACAGCATGTTACTATCAGTTGAACAGTCAGGAAGAGATGCAAAGGACCGTGACGAAAAGGAAAGAAAAGGAGTTCTAGATTTGTACCAAGGATCTAACTTAAGAATCATGTCCCAATTGATTGATAATTTAGAAATGTAGAAGGCTATAAAAAGCATGAACATCAACAAGACCAACATACAACAATAAAAAGCAGTAGCAAACAATAAAAGCATCAACCATAAACAAAAATAAAAGCAATAAAGCAACTGAAGGCATCAGAAAAATACATCAACGGTAGCTATGCTAGAATCAGGTCAGCAGCATAAAACAAAAGCTAGACAGAAGCAACAGAAAATAATTTATGTTACCTGATTAATTGTGGCCCTAGATTTAGAAGATTGCTTATTTTGGTCAACGAGAAGATGTGGCGCACTAAATGCATCCTTTGGAGCCGATGGAATCGCAAAATCAAGGCGCTAGCAAAAGACGACCAGAGTAACACAAGATGAGCAAAATATGTTAGGGTTGCAGCATATATATTATTTTTTGATCATTTAATACACTCATATGGAAGTCAGATTTAAAAAATCAAAAATAAAAAAAAAAGTATCTTACCCTTAGATTGCCTAGTTGATCTTTATTTAGTATGTCGGTTACAGCATGGTATACCACTAACTCAGGATTAAATCTTCGTCCAGCAAGTTGTCAAAAATTTACAAAGAGATCAAATTACTAATCCAGCACATCCTTTAAAGGATCTCTAACAAAGACTCCGAATGCCAAAAGTCTTGAAATCTAGATAAACACTTTAGTACATATTACATTAACATTTATAGATTGTTCTACAAACATATACAATTCTTAAATAGAGTGACTAGTAGATATTGGCAAAGAAAAATAAACAACAGAGGGAGCTCAGGCAGTAGGTATTGACAAAGCTAAATATTGCATAACTAAAGTGCAATATGGCCAAAGTGCCAAAGTTTTACTTCGGAGTGTGACCAATTCAAATTTTGAAGAAGTCAAGCGTAGAAGTGATATAGAATTACATGTTACTTAATCTTTTATGGGTTGTCATAATCCCGCAATTTTCTACCATCTCGTCCCGAATATTTTGTTTAGCAATAGTCTCAATTGTTGGCTATATTACTCATTGTATTAGTCTAGCTTGACTTGCTAGCAGATGATGGTCATTGACTAATTACGATCATTAGCTTATTTTGGAAAGACATTGGTGTGATAAGTTCAGCATTTGAGTGCTTGTAATTTATTATCTTGACATTTTAGATAAATGGTTTTTCCACAACTCTGAGGCACTAAACGAATTTTTTTTTATTATCTTGTAATTTATTATCTTGACATTTTAGGCGATAATAAAAAAATCTTTCACGCATTATTAAAAAGATGATAAATGTTTAAAAAAAATTTTAACACAAGCTTAAAACAAACGCACTAAGTGATTAAACAATACTCCGTATCATTAAAAGACGATAAATTATAATTTGCTTGAAATTATTGATTCAAATTCTCTATTTCATAATTTGTTTGATTTCATAATAGGACTATATACGAAGTATATGATTTGATTTATAAGAAGCCAAATCTACTGTTAGCCGTGGCATTTGATGATTAATGGTAAGGCACAAGAGAAGCAGCCCCCACAGAACAGAAAACTACATCAGAGAAGGAACTTGTAAGATTATCTTATGAAGATCAGACAATCTTTTAATTTTTTTTCAATCATTCATCCTAAAAAATGTTCTACCATTTTTTGTGTACATCGACCTTTGGTTGACACACTAATATGGAATTTCAAGGAAAAGACTAAAAATAACAGATAAACTAATCTATCTTTTTGTTTCTTTGATATTTTCAGTTCAAATTCTCTTTATTTTTCCAGAAATTAACCACATTGTATATGGCCACTAATTAGATTTTTCGTGGAAAACATTACTCACTCAGATCGTTTCTTACCCAACTCGTTCCCTCTTTGCAAATGCAAATTTGAACTAAGTAATTTCATCTTCCTATTACCGTAATTTATGGCCTCGAATACAAATTTGCAAGCACAATCGCTAAAACTTCAAATTAATCACCATGACATGCAAAAACAAAAATTTTGATTAAGCAATCTCAAAAACAAAACTATGTCGTATACCTTAAACAGCAACTCGAGCAATCAACCACAAGGCAGGAACATGCAAGATGAAAATGGGAGTTGTTGAAACCGCTTGAAATTCGCAGCCACCGCTTGAAACTCGCAACCACCGCCTGAAATTCAAGCAATCAGCCACCACTTGAGTGCCGCCTTCGTCTACTTGCTCAGATTCCTTTGTTTAATTTTCCTCTCAGAAATTTTTCAATAATTTTCCTACAGTAATTTAAGGCTTCAAAAATGGAGAATTGGGGGAATATGGGTATAGTGCCAAGATGTGAGAATATGGGTTTAGTTCAGAGAAACAGCTTTCTTACTTTTCCAATTTTCTTTTCTTTTTTCTTTTTAGTTTTGTCTTAGAATAGGAACACGTGTAAGGGGTTTTAAATTTTTAGGGAAAAAGTAGAGGGAAGTCATGAAAATTTCCGCGCCATCTAATTTTTCATACATACCGTTGCATCAGCTTTCTTAGTTGTTGAAATACCTAGGCTAATGCAACGGTTCTTTAGAGCCGTTGTATTAGCTTTACCTCTTAGAATATTAGAGGTGAATCCGTTGAATTAGCCTATGCCATTACAACGGTAATAAAACTACCGTTGCATTAGCCTTAATTTAGTCGTGGCATTAGGTCAAAAATGTAGTAGTGAGTAAAGCTAACAGAGTTACCTTTGTCACAGAATTGTGAAATACTTAACAAGTTGTGTTTCGAACCCTCGACCAAAAATACATTATCAATAGCATGGGAACTTGACCTTCCTACTTTTCCAATGGCTATGATTTTACCTTTCATGTTGTCACAAAAGGTCACAGTCCCACCATAGTATGCGTCTAGTGAGGGAAATATAGTTTTATATCCAGTCATGTGCTTAGAACAACCGCTTTCGATGTACCACATGTTGTTACCCCTTACTGAAATCTGCATGAAAAATCAAATGATAGTGTTAGGAACCCAAGCCTCCTTAGGTTCCTGTGTAACAGATGTAGACTCAAATTTCTTGACCCATATCTATTTAACATGGTTCTCATTTTTAAGAGTACTCTTGTCTTTCTTAGAGAACTTTTTTTTTATTATGCCCTGTCATACCACAAAAATAGCAAATAATACTACTAGGCAAATCAACATACTTCTTTTCTTTCTACAACTTCTTCTTGTATCTTATACCTTTAATTTTTTTGGTTTGAGCATTAGCAATCCATTCTGGTACACTGTACTCTATGGGTTGCTTGTCCTTCCTAGCTTCCTCAAGTCTTACTTTATCCAATTTTAACTCTTCTAAATCAGATTTCAATTTTTCAAAATTCGATATTAATCAAGAAGAGGAACTTTAGAGTTAGTAGTAGCACCACTAAGTTTCAACAAAGAAATTTCCACATTCACAAGTATGTTATCATGTTTCAACCTTTCAACAGTTTCTTTTAACTTTACATTATCATCAAACAAATCAAAGAATCTCTGTTGAATATAAAGTCTCATATTATCAATCCATTCACTATGTTCTTTGTAAGTTTTAAGAGCCCTTGTCACTTTGTGCTTTTGCTATAGGTAATTCCATTAAATCACCTTGCACTTCCAAGACAGTGTCAATCAAGTTTTCTATAGAGAAACGTTTTAACTTATTAGAAGTAAACCAAACCTTAGCCTCTTGTGCCTTCAGTTTGGCTTTTTCATCTATTTTGGCCATCAGACACAAATGTGTTGATTCTTCTGAGGGCTTCTCTTCTTCTTCTTCTTCTTCTGACTCTGAGTGTCCTAGGTAGCTATCATATCTTTCTTTACATCCACCTTTGAAAAAGACGTCTTGTAGGCTTTGGACTCTTTAGCTTAATCCTTTCCTTTGAACTTTTCCCTATCATTTTCCTTTAAAGGGCAGTCTCTATTGAAGTGACCTTTTGAACCACACTTGAAACAGGTAGTTTCTTTGGAACTTGAAAATTTCTTGTTCCTATCATACTTCCTGTTACCAAGCATCTTCTTAAATCTTCTCACCAGCATGGCCATCTCATCTTCATCAACTTTTGACTCATCAGTGTCCTGACGCTAGGCTTTTGTTCTTCGAACTTTCAACATTAATTCCTAAGTGAAGTTCATGTGTCATCAAAGATCTAGCCAGCTGTTCCATGTTGAACTTTGTGAAGTCCTTGGTTTCTTGTGGTGCAGTCACCTTAGATCTCCATCGTTCATCTTGAGGAAGACTCCTTAATATCTTTCTTGCCTGTTCATCTATACAAAATCTTCTTTTTCAAAATCAGATAAAGGGTTTAGGAACTATCTCGTTTTTCTCATTAGTTTTGGTTACCTCAAAATCACTAGACTCAATGACGCGCCAAACCTGGTAATTTTTAGCCTTGATGAAAATCTCCATTCTGTTCATCCAATAGGTGTAGAACTTACCGTTGAACATAGGTGGACGTTGGGTAGCGTACCTGTCTTCAAGCTTCTCTCGATAATTCATCTCTCCTTAGGAACTAACTCAACAAAGTTATTTGTTTATACGCGAGAACCACTGCTCTGATACCAATTGTTAGTTGAGATGAACTTTACAAGAGGGGGGTGAATTGTAAGTGAGTTCCTAGTGACTACTTTTGCGAAATTAAAACAGAATAATAAAGGAACTTGCAATGCCTACAGGATTCTACGAGGAAACCTTCCAGGGCCCAACTGGAAGTAAAACCTCGACCCTCCAAGGGATTTCACTCAAAACAATCCACTATAATAGGGAAACACACCTAGTTACAAACTATTAAACACAGACCTTTACTCAAAAGTTCTAGACTGAACTTCCTACATAGTAGAACCCTATTTTACCCAACCTAAGTCCCAGACTTAGATTTACTCAGCACTCCCGGAGTACTCACAACTCAGCTTCAACCTTGAAGCCTACAATTTGTATGCAATATGCTAAACACTCACCCCCAATACCAAAAACATAAAAACTCTTGACTCTAATATATGATTGGAAAGCTACACATGAAATCCGAAACTAACATGACAAAGTTTAGACTTGGAAAACTTACACTTTTTGCACTCTTTAGATTTTTCACGCATAAACTCACAAGTTATGCAAATTATGAATTCTACTTTATATACAAGTTGTACTCGTATGTAAAGTAGGGTTTTTCAAAAGATAGAAATTAATAAACCACCGTTTTCATAATCACAACGCTTAGGTAAATCTTTTAGAAGAAAATCTTATAGAAAACTTAACAAAGATATAATTTTAGAAATGAATATTATTTTGTAAAACCCGAATTTTATAAAATAAAATCTTTTAAAAATCTTTTCATAAATTTAAACCTTATCTTTTATAAACTTTCCATATTTAATAGCTTGCCAAGCTTTGTCACGCTTCTAATAGATTCCATGCATAATCTTACCTAAAATATTTACATCAATCGTCAATAAAATAAACTTAACAAAATGAATTTTATTCTAAAGCTGGATTGTCTCATCAATCGTTGTATTGTAAGGATACTTGGGCTTCACGCAGACCAAGACTAAGTTCATGTTGTCTTCAACTCTCCAACTCCTTGCTGGAACTCGCAGTCCAAGTTTTTGTGGAACTTCTCTTCGTGTTCCTGTTAGGGATCATAGCTAGTTCCAGTGAGGAATTCTTCTTCTATTTTCTTTAACTTCCTTTAGATCTCCTTGAGTCTTCATGAATAAGTTACTCTTCCACTTTCAAAGTCAACTTCACCTATTCTAATCAAACACTTAGAGAAATCGCATTAGTTGAAGTTTTCTTTTATTCATCACCATCAAAACTCTTAAGCTTCAACATGAATGGAAAAGGGGTTGTGAAAAGAAATAAGTTAGTACGAGTAATATGCGTTTGTAAAGATAGGATAAAGTAAAGGTGTGTGTGACCTTTTAAAATAAAAAGCGAGTTAAACTTTCAGTAATAAACAAATATATATATATATATATATATATAAATCCTCCGTTCTTTTATATTTGACCTATTTTGACTTTTACATTATTCACATCCTTTTCTTCAACTGTCTTTTATGAGTTATATGTAAAGAAAAACATATTCATACGATTCATGTGAGATCTTGCTTGAATCGTCTCAATAAATACTATCGTAATAAATTATTTTTTTTATAATTTTACTTATTAATAATTATTGATGGCGAAAGTTATATTTGACAAACATGATAAATAAAATAGGCCAAATAAAAAAAGAGCTGAAAAAGTATGTTATTATTTCCATTATAGTAATTGGGGTTGAGATGAGGCCTAAGGGTGTTAGTGATATGAGATACCGAAAAATATATGTGTGATATATTTCCGTAGATATCATTAAGAGAATAATATATTTAGGTTTATTTTATGTTAAGATATTATTTAGAGAATAAATCTTTAAGATTTATGGTTAGGCTATAGTATATCTTTTACGAAGATTGTTTCCTATCTTATTAGCTTAGGTTTTGTATAAATACTCTACGATCAATAGTAAACAAGCCATTCAATTCTCTCTTTCACCCTAATTTGTCATGGTATCAAGAGAGGGTTAGATTTTGGGACAATTCACAAAAACTTTCCCCCTGTCGGTCCGTTAGAAAGTTAAACCCACCGGTGGAATTCAAAATTTTGTTTCCGCTATGCAATATTAATACTATTCTTTGATTTTTTTTTTTTTGGTTGGTATACGTGATTAATCCATCATATATTCATATATAATGGGATGCGAGTGAGTTTTCCCCGTAATACATCTCCATGGAGATGAAGAAAAGCCACGTTTGGCGCAATAGTTTTATTATAAAAAAAAAGGATTTTTCGGCTCTTTTGTGTCGTGAGACAAGATATATTGGTTCTCCTCATGCCGTGAGACAGGGTTTTATATATAGGTTCTCCTTGTGCCGTGAAACAGGGATTGGTTTCCTTGTACCTTGAAACGACAAGATTTTTGTACCTTGAAACGACAGGACAAGCATATTGGTTTCCTTGTACGAGACAACATGACATTATACCTTAAAACGACAGGGCAAGCCTTAAAAAAAATGAAGACGACATTAACAGAGTAGTGCATCTCGATCGACTTCAACAAAGTGAAGAATTTCCAATCGCAACGTTTGTGTTACTGCCGTTACGATTGCGGGAGGGTGTTAGAGATATGAGGTATCGGAAAATATATGTGATATATTTTTCATAGATATCATTAATATATTTAGATTTATTTTATGTTAAGATATTATTTAGAGAATATATCTCTAAGATTTATGGTTAGGCTATAGTATATCTTTTGGGAAGATTGTTTTCTATCTTATTTGCTTAGGTTTTGTATAAATACTCCACCTGTTGATGAATAATAAACAAGTCATTCTATTATCTCTTTCACTCAAATTTATCAAAGGGGCAGTTGGGACAGATGGAGAACACAGTGCAAGAAGAGCAAATTGTCTTGTTGGAGTGATGACTACCCAAATAGATATTTTTGTGCAACTTAAAAATAACCTACCTTAAAGAGTAGACTAAGCACAACCACACACATGGAATTCCACCTAATTAAGGTCCAATTAATTTCATTATTTTTATGCAATATTAATATATGGTTTAGAATAATCGTCATTACACGTCAAGAAGCATTTATAATGAAGTAATTGATTTTTAGCCTATGGTT